GAGAGACTAGACTAGTGGAAAGCACATGCACAATGAGTAGAGATCAACAAGGTAAAGATCCGGAACATGAACTTGACAATGGGAGACTAGACTAGCGGAAAGCATATGCACAATGAGTAGAGATCAACAAGGTAAAGATCCGGAATATGAACTTGACAAGGAAGTATTAGACTAGTGGAAGCACATGCACAAAGGAGAGGGGCTCAACAAGGTAAAGATCCGAAACATGAACTTGACAAGGAAGGATTAGACTAGTGGAAGCACATGCACAAAGGAGAGTTCAACTAAGTAAAAGATCCGGAACATGAACTTGACAATGGGAGACTAGACTTATGGAAAGCACATGCACAATGAGTAGAGATCAACAAGGTAAAGATCTGGAACATGAAATTGACAAGGAAGGATTAGACTAGTGGAAGCAAATGCACAAAGCAGAAGAGCTCAACTAAGTCAAAGATCCGAAACATGAACTTGACAATGAGAGACTAGACTAGTGGAAAACACATGCACAATGAGTTGAGATCAACAAGGTAAAGATCCGGAACATTAACCTGACAATGGGAAACTAGACTAGTGGAAACCCCACACACAATGAGTAGAGATGAACAAGGTAAAGATCCAGAACATGAACTTGACAATGAGACACTAGACTAGCGGAAAGCACATGCACAATGAGTAGAGATGAACAAGGTAAAGATCCGGAACATGAACTTGACAATGAGAGACTAGACTAGTAGAAAGCACATGCACAATGAGTAGGGATCAACAAGGTAAAGATCCGAAACATAAACTTGACAATTAAAGACTAGACTAGCGGAAAGCACATGCACAATGAGTAGAGATCAACAAGGTAAAGATCCGGAACATGAATTTGGCAAGGAAGGATTAAACTAGTGGAAGCACATGCACAAAGGAGAAGAGTTCAACTAAGTAAAAACTTCGGAACATGAACTTGACAATGGGAGACTAGACTAGTGGAAAGCACATGCACAATGAGTAGAGATCAACAAGGTAAAGATCCGGAATGATGAACTTGACAATGAGAGACTAGACTAGTGGAAAGCACGCGCATAATGAGTAGAGATCAACAAGGTAAAGATCGTGAACAAGAACTTGACAAGGAGAGATTAAACTAGTCGAAAGCACATGCATAATGAGTAGAGATCAACAAGGTAAAGATCTGGAACATGAACTTGACAATGGGAGACTAGACTAGTGGAAAACACATGCACAATGAGTAGAGATCAATAAGGTAAAGATCTGGAACATGAACTTGACAATCAGAGACTAGACTAGTG